GAAACAATTTTCAAATTTTAAAAATCAGATTTTTATTAAAAATTATTTATAATTTAATTAATTATTTATTTATTTTAGTAATTAAATATATATAAGTCACAGATTTATATAATTTGGTTACAAGTTAACGATTTAATTCGTGGCTTATAGTTTTTTGTCACAAATAAGAAATTTTATATCACAAATTATTTTACAATCACAATTCAAAAATTATATAGGTCACAGTTTGTTCATCGATCACAAATTGAAAAATTTATAAGTCACGATTTATTTATTGATCACAAATCACAAATATTACAAGTCACGATTTATTATACAGTCACAAATGATCAAATTATCGATCACAAATGAACATTTTTTAAGGTCACACATTATTTTTCAGTCACAATTTGTCTTTGTCATTGGTCACAGATTAACCAATTTAATGGTTACAGTCAACCAAATAATTTGTGACCACCACCAACACTTACGATTCACAGTCACAAATTTCAGGTCACGTATCCAATTGTGAGTTACAGTCACAATTTTCAAGTTACGCATCCAATTGTGAGTCACAAATCGTCGCCAGAATCACCACCACCACCTGACAGCAACACCGTCGCCAAACAAAACGACCACAGCAAGCACAGCACCACCAACCTTCCCTCACTATTGCAACGTAAACCACCAGCACATTAACAAAACCCAATCACCAAAACAATGCCATCCCACACACAAACGACCATCCACAACCACCATCGTCACCATCGACCACCGCAGACCGCCACCAACACTTGGGACAACCACTACCGCCCTAACCACCACCATGATCACACCGCGACCCACTACCAACATCACACCATCCCGCCTCTTCCACTGATCTATTCTAGCCCAATGCTAGATTGAAAACTAGAACTCAGTTAACATCACCAATAACTCAAATATCACAACCATCACCATCGCCAACATCCCGATCACCACAACGCCGCGCGTGCAGCGACGTCACAATATCGCATCTCGATGGGTGCCACTTCGAGCTGCTTTGTCAAAGGCCACCACAGTCTCACCACTATCACGATTAGCAGCGCCACCATCACAACACCACCAAAAAAATCCCCAAAACTTGGTATCGTCGCCGCCACCACGATGAACATAAATGAAAATAGAAGCCTCGCCGCCCAAACTAGTAGCAATCGTCGGAGCCGGAGTGAGTTGCCAGAGAGAGAGAGAGAGAGAGAGAGAGAGAGAGAGAAGACGGGTAGGAGGAGAGAGAAGGGGATGGAGAGAGAAGAAATTGATTAGTGTTGGAATGGAATTTGTATAATTAGTATTTCATATTAAAATATGAAAGATCTGGTTTTTTAATTAATTTTTAAGTATATTAATTAATTAAAAAAAATTCTGATTTGTGAAATACTAAACATGGTATCTTATTTATGAAATTGGAATTTTTAATCTATTAGAATATGTAATTTCCACTTATATCTTTGTGTAGATGCAAGTATGCAGTCAGTTAACATATTCATCAACTCAATACGAATACCTTTGAAATTTAAATGCTATAATATGTGCTTTCCACGTTATTTCGAATAATTTTCACTCCATGTTTCGTTATTTCAGATTCCTAATATTAGATTCCATAGCGGTTACGAAGAATGGACAATTCTGACTTTGTCAACTCGGTACACTATTAAATGTTACATTGTATTGTTAGTTGTGCATTTATCACCTCATCTCATTTTCTCTCTTCACTCTTAATAGATGTTGAGAAGATCGAATGTCATACCAAAGCAAGTAATTGTTACATAACATGTAGCCAAATGATTTTACAATGTAGGTTATATATTGTTAGAGGTTTGTAATTTACATACCTGATTTGATGATTTTTAAAGTATGTATCATTACCGTCCAATGATCTTGATAATGTTCAACTAAGTTACATGTAATCTTATTACCTCACAATGCTATGTTATATAATGGTTTCTATATTATTTCAAAGATATCCAAAAGTTGTACCATCATACATGTACCCAAATTATCAACAAGAACCATAATATTTTCTGATGTATTCAAAAGTAGCAAGTGAAATTTGTTGCATACTTGCATATAAAACATTCATTGACATTTTATCTAAACTGTCATACATCCAAATCCAATCGATCAAGTTCAAGTGCTAAACTTAAGAAGCCCACTTTTAATACACCGCATAAATGTTCCAAATTCATTATTACATTTTAACACAGCATTCCAAATTATAAATAGAAAATAAACATTTTTAACATTCAAATTGTGTCACAAGCAACAAATGAACAAATTACCTTCTTTAGTTCCAACTTCGGCGGTAGAGGTTTCTAATAAAAGCTTGGCATTGGTGTTGCCTTGAATGCCAAACTCTTCCTTTAACATTTTAATCTCAGTTTGAAAAAAAAAAAAAGAAGGAAAGATGGAGAAACTTGATCTCACAATCCACCAATGAAAGTTTGAATTCATAATCTGATACAAGATCTCACCTTAGTTTTGGCTTGCAAATTACTCTTCTCTGCTTCCTTAGAGTGGATCTTTTCCTCAAATTTTGAATAGAACTGCTCAAGCAAATAAGATATATATTTCTAAGGTGTAGGTCATGCAGGAAATATCGAATTGTCGGTACCATTGACTTAGAGAAAGGATAACTTCTCTTCTTTTCTAAGTTCTTTCATCGCATTCAAAATTGAAATTATAATTCGGTAAAGCACCCTATCTTTGGGGTTTGGCATCACTCTTATTCTTTTTTTCGTTTCTGAACCTTCCATTGCATCCTCTTCGAACTAAATTATCCGTTAACTTTATTTATTTATTCGTGCACAATGTGTATAAAAGAAAAAAATGTCATAGAGATGTAAGGGTCAATTCATAAATTGAACAGAGGAGCAACAAATATTGTGTGGAAAAGCCCTAAAAAGAAAGTTCAAAAAGCCTTGAAAAATGCAATCTTTGGATCTCCTACAAGTTTTTTTTACTTATTGGCATATCCTTCCACTGTATATGAAAAGTGGCACTAAATTCCTGAAAATGAAAAGGGCATCAGATTATCTATTCTGGGAATCAAGAAATGAAAATTCTTTCACGAGTTCAATCAGATGGCTTGCTATATGGCTTATTTTTGTCCTAAAAGTTGTGACTAAAATGTTTAAAGTTGATATAATCTAAGGTGTTTCTCTTTTCCAAAATTGTGTCAAATGTACAAAAATTGTGACCTATGAATACACTGTACCAATATTACATCTGAGAGTTAACTATTCGTATGACTCCAGTTATATATAACACTATGTGATGTGATATTCTTGTTTTTTTGGTTCTTTTCACCCAAAAGTTGTGATGAATATGTGCTGAATTATCTTTACGACTTCCTTTCTCCTGAAATGTCAGATACAAAGATTTGCTTTAAATCTTGGAATGGAGGAGAACAACGAGGATTTTATAATAATGGACAGGATGATACAAAATTGCAACAGGTGTCCCTCAAAAATTGCCTCTTCCATACTGTAAGTAATAGTAATATAATAATATAAAAAGATTGAAGACAAAACTACGTCGTTTTTTCCCACGATTGAGGGATGAAAATAACAAATTTGCTGTAGAAAAAATTGACGTTATTTTGCACTTCATACAGCAGAATGGGAATGGGATTGAAATACTATTGCATCTACAGTATCCAATTCATTGGGCTTTTATATAAGGTTAGATAAAGAAACTGAATGATTTAACAAATTAAACAAACAAAAAAAAAATTAGAGGGAAAAAAAAAACAAAAAGAGAAGTTATTATAATGTTTTTAAATTAAATCAAAATAATTAAAATTAAAAATAAATATGATTTAATTAAAATTGAAAATATTGCGTTTTAAACGAAAAGAATTAAAAAGAAGAAAAAATAACTTTTAAAACAATTTTCAAAAAAATATAATGAAAACAAAATAAAATAAAGTTATGAAAATTAAATAAAGAATATATAAATATTATTTAGTTAAAATTGAAAAATTAAGTTTTATTACGAAGAGAAAATAATTTTAAAAAATTAAATTGAAAAAAAAATTTATTTATGATGTAAAAAAAATTAAAAAACGAAAAAAAAAATATCTCCATGCACATGGAAACTGAGACTCTTAAACTCTGTGCACGGAGATCGGAGAGATTTAATTTAATTTTTTTTCATTTTTATTTTTGTTTATATTATAAATATTTTTTTTAATTTAAAATTTTTTTTAATTCTTTTCTCTTCAATTTTTTTATTCACAAGTAACATTTTACTTCTTAGAAATATTTTCTGCCTTATATTATTAGTATTTTTATTTTTAATAATTCCAAACGATATTTAATTTTATAGTAATCTTTTTATTAGTATTTTATTTTTTTAAATTAAATATATCTAAATATTACTTTAAAATTTTGATGTGAGGTATGAAAAGTTGTGTGTTGTAATAAATTTAGATTGTCTTTTTTACTGTATATAAAATATATCTCAGGGCAAACCACGTCATTTTTACTCCCCCCAACTAAAAAATATTGTACAGTAAAACGAAATGGAACGAGTCTCTGTTAATTTGTACGGCAATTTCACGTTCTCATGGTAGGATACGCTTTATTGATTGTTCTTTAGCTTCAACCCCCGCGCGCAAATGAAGATGCAGAGTACTGTTGTAAATGTCAGTACAATTTTCTGGCTTCATCATTTTATTTTTTATTTTTTATTTTCCTTCTGTCTCCAATATGATACCGTTCAGTTCTTACTCCTACATACTAACTAGCCCTCGTGTTTTTCTTGATTTGTCATTTTTGTTTTCGATTTGTTCTTCAGTCATCTGGGTGGTAATTATTTGTTTAAACTCAATTTCTTGGTCAAATTTATTGATAATTGAACTAGTGGTTTGATTGATCTGGTTTGTAACCACTAACCATAGAGTGATTATTTATTTAGCACTTTCGAGTTTCACGTGTTTGATAAAATTCCTAAACCAATATAATCAATATTAGCCAAAGCAGTTTGCTGAAAGAATATGTATATTTCAACAAGAATCTAGTTAACATAAAGAACACGTTTTTTTTTTGTCAACCCATATTCACTTTAATGTTTGCCTGTGTATCTATACAAAAATCAAGATGGGCTCAAAACATTTTGGCGATATGAGATTAACAAAGGAGAAGAAGAAAAAGATGTAGGTGAAGAATAGAACGTGGGAGGTGAATAATGGCATGTGCATTTTGGATTGTGCACGGCTTTTTTTCTTTGAATGTCAATTTTTGTGCAAAACACACAATACCTACCGCAGAACGTGTCATCTTCTATTTCATCTTCATTTTCGTCCTCTTTATCCTCCTCATCTTCGGTTGTCTCATCTACAATTTTGGCTGCAGCCTCAGCCTTACCATCAAATCTAACATAACTGAATCCATACCTTGGAAAAATCAGCTTTATAAGTTTTTCCAGATGCTCGTTGCATTGCTTCCTCCATTTCTTGACGAATGCAAGAGGTGCAATGACCAGTGCTGCTCCAAACCCGAATCCCAAGCCAGTGAATATGAACTGCCAATCAAAATCTAAACTTGTAGAGATAGGTCCTGACTTTGGTGTAGATGTGTTTTCTTCGCAGCTTGTTTGCAATGGAAACCCGCATAGCCCCATATTTCCTTCATAGGAGGCCGGTGTAAATGTTTGAAATTGAGAACCTGTCGGGATCTTACCAAACAACCTATTATAGGACAGATTCAAGAATGATAGGAATGTTAGACTTGTGAGCTCTTCTGGTATCTCTCCAGTTAGCTGGTTCATTGAGAGGTCTAGCGATCCAAGCTGTGCCAAATTACCAATTGATTTTGGGATATGTCCCGTGAGAGCATTATGTGATAAGTTCAGAATGTAAAGAGAACTTAGATTCCCAACAGTTTCTGGTATCTCCCCTTCGAAATTATTGCATGAGAAATCAATGGATGTAAAAACTGTTAGAATTTTCACAAGCTCCATTTCTAACCCTTTAATGGTTACTGTCACGGTGTCCTGATAATAGAAGTTGCTCAGATTCAGAAAATTAAATTTCAGGTGGTTGTGCTCAAATTGGGATTCATTGTCAAGCTCCATTCCTCTCCAACTTAAGAAGCATCCTGGGGAGAGAGATCCACTGAAATTGTTAAAAGCTATATCAATGATTTGAAGATTTGGCCAGCTGTTATTGGCCCCAGGACATTGAAGTTCTCCGTAAAATCTGTTGGATCGCAGAACTAACACACGCAAGCTGGATGAATTTTTCAACACGCAAGGGAAGATTCCATCAACTTTGTTGTTTCCAACATTTAAAACTTCTAACAATTTGCAATTGGCCAGAGATCCTGGAATCTCCCCTGTAAAACTGTTCCCACTGAGGTCTAGAGTTCTTAGATCACAGCTGGGAGAAAATGCATCAGGAATGGTTCTGCTGAGATTGTTTCTTCCTAGATTCAGTACGCCAAGAGTCTGACTTGATAGTAGACAGTTCGGGATTTTACCGCTCAAATAATTGTTAGACAAATCTAGAACTAGAAGGTAACTGGCATTGCATATGGATTCAGGTATAGCTCCCATTAAACTATTATTTGAAAGAGAGAAGAAAGAAGCAAACGAAACACTGTTGCCAATATGAGCTGGAATACCGTGATTGAAATAATTGCTTGAGAAATCTATATAGATAGCTGATGATGGAGGGATTGGCAGATCGCCCTGGAGCTGGTTGCTATGAATGTCTAAAACATTAAGACTTGAAATGTTGTAAGGCTTTTGCAGATCTTGTAAGAAATTGTAAGAAAGATTTAAATGACTAAGACTTCCATTTCCGGCTTCCCAGATCCAATTAGGTATTTCCCCTTTAATTTGGTTGTTTGAAAGGTCTAAAAAGGACAGTTTGGATAGGTTCCTCACGTCAGGAAAACTTTTTAGATTGCAGGAAGCTAAGCTTAATCTGGTTATCTGTGGAAATGGATATGGGCTAAAAGAACTGTTGCTTGCATTGATAGTCAAGCGATTGTGAGAAAGCTCAAGTGTCGTGAGGTTTTGGAGGTTATGGATATTTTCCATCTGTACAGTGCCGTTAAAGAAGTTGGAGGAAAGTGAGAGAACATTAAGCTTTTGAAGTTCAAAGAAAAATTTGGGAATAGGCCCTTCTAGGAGATTACTACTCAAATCGAGTGTATCCAATTGGGACGAGGACGCATTCGAAGCTTCATTGACTTGGCCACCAAATTGATTGTTAGACAATTTGAGTTTCTGCAGTGACGGGAGCGCAAACAGAGCAGGGGGGATGCTCCCATTGAGTGAATTATACCCTAAGTCCATATACACAAGATCATTAAGTCCCTCAAAATGCATTGAAGAAAGTGAACCGATTAGATCATTACGGGAGAGGTCTATATGGGTAAGTTTCTTGGACATATTGAAAAGTGGGAGTAAACCAGTGAGTTTATTCCACGAGAAGTCCAAATAAACTACTTCGGTGAGATTTGTTATCGTGGGTGGAAGTAGTCCACTGAAATTGCAATTCGTCAGATCAATCCACGACAACATGCCAAGGTTACCAATGGAATCAGGCAATGAACCTGAAAAGTTGGTGTGGCTAAGAATGATTTTTCTAAGAGATCCATCCCTGGGAAATTGCGGCCAATTGCCATTGAGCAACTTATTATTGGACAATTCCAGATTCTTTAAAGTGGGTAACTGGAAGATTTTGTCGGGAAAGAATCCTTGCAGAGAACAAGAGCTCATGCTCAAGGTTGTCAGTTTCAAGAAATTTGCGAAGGAGTCTGGAATTGTCGTGGACAGATTGTTCATGTCAAGGCGGAGAAATGAAAGATTTTGAAGCTGTGATAAGGAAGAATCTAGCGGACCTGAAAGAAGACAATTAGACAGGCTCAAATTGCTTAGATTTGGTAAAGACGAAGACAAGGCCTGGCACCATTCACTCCCGGGAGCTGAAATACTAACGCCATCTAGATAGAGTTCTCGAAGCTCTTTAAGGTTCTGAACAAACTTTTTCAGATTTGGATTCTCAAGTTTCAGAGGCTGCATTCCGGGGAAAAGAGTTGAGAGATCAAGAGAAACCAACCTTGTCATCCTCGAAATCTCAAATGGAATCTGTCCAAGAAAACCTGCATTTGATAAGTTCAAGTATGTCAAATTCGTAAGATTATAAATCCCCTTTGGTATCTGAATGTTGTTGAATCTGTTGTAAGCCAGATTCAACTTCTCTAGGTACTGAAAATCAAGAAGACTAGTCAAATTCTCAATTCCACCAGAAATCGCTTCGTTATCCAGTTCCAAACTGATCACATGCCCCGAACTATCGCAGGCAATCCCCTTCCAGCTGCAACAATTCTCAGACTGATTCCAGGTCAACAGTTTGACAGAAATTGTCTTGTCGAAGATGATGCTGTTCTTGAATTGATTCAATAATGACCGTTGATCATCAAGGCATTGACCAAAAACCAATACAGTATTTGTGCCTGATAAGATTTGGAAAAGGGATATCAAGAAAATCCATGAAAACGATAGATTGCTCATTTGTTGTCAAGAACACCCATCAACAATAAGGTTTAATGTGTGTTTGAGAGAGAGGAGAAAATTCAAAGTGGAAACTGGGAACCCATTGTTGCAGCTTATTAAACGCCTCGTACAGGTTGTCTTCTACGCGTTTAATGTCGGCCCGGCTTTATTATTCATACAAATCCTGACTTCACTCTCTCTATCCTTGAATATATATATATATATATATATATATATATATAAAATATAATCTGTTTTAAGATATATTGATGATGATGATAATTTTAAACAAATATTTCTTTATTTAAAAGAACATTTAAATTTTTAGTGGTACTATATATATATTTTTTCTAAGTACGGGCGATTTGGTTGACTCTTCTCCATTGATTCTCTTTCACGCAACGCATTGACCAATTAACTTGTTTTGTTAATATATTGTTTGGATTCTTGTGTTCTTAACATCTGTTTGGTTTTGTTAAAATTCAAACTTCTGGTAAATCTTTAATGTGTGATTGAAATTAATTGATGTATTATTGACGATTGTCAATTTTTCGATTACATTTTTTTTAAATGCACATATTTTTCAATGGCTATTCTATTCTGTCATTTTTAGTCTTTGTAGGGCAACATGAATTGCCCAAATTTGACAAAAAATGCTCTCTTGATATTGGAAAAAACCATGGTAATGTTTGGTATGTTTCCATCCTTGAGGTTTATAACATATGGTCACTTTGAAAATAAAAAGACATGTCCGCCATTTTTTTTTTAATAGCCTTTTTTTTTTTTTTTTTTTTTTTTTTCATATTTAGTGTTTGTTTCATGAAATTTAAAAGTTGAGTTCAAAGTCAATAATTAATTTTAATAACATATTTACTGGTACCATAATATTTATCAACATTTTAACAACACATTTAATATATATCAAAATCTGTTAAATTTTTTATCAAAAGTTTTGTCAAACAATCCCTTAGAGCTGTTCAGTTTGAACAAATAGGTAAAGAAATTAAAAACAAAGATGTCCATATTTCATAGTAAATAAAAAATGACCAAAAATAAATAAATCGAAAAAGCATATGAATATAAGAGTAATTGAAAAATATGGGTAAGCAAGTCAAAGGATTTGTTAGTTCAACATTTTAGACTAGGTCAACCACCTTGTTGTCATAACAATTATGATTAGTTGCAAGAATCGTTATTTTTAAAAGTAATTGAGGTATGTTTAACACTTATTTATGAAATAAGTTATAATTAGAAATTTTAATGTTTTTTAGAAAGATTTCCTGTTTCCTCTAACACTCGTACAAATGTTTCAATAGTTAAGCTATTTTTTTTATGCATTTTCA